GGCCTGGTGGGAAGGTGAATGGATCATGGGGGCAGTTTCTCCCATGCTATTCTTGAGATAGTAAGGGAGTTCTCATGAGAGCTAATGGTTGTTTTAAAAGTGTTTAGAAGTTCCTTCTTTGCAGCACTTCTCTCTCCTGCTGCCATGTAAAACATGACTTTCTTTCCCTTTGCCTTCTGCCATGATTGTAAGTTTCCTGAGGCCTCCCCAGCCATGTGGGACTGTGAGCCAATTAAACCTTTCTTTATAAATTACCCAGTGTCAGTTAGTATCTTTAGAGCAGTGTGAAAATGGACTAATACAACTGCCCAGGTTCAACTGATCCTCCCACCTCAGCCTATGAGTAGCTGGGACTACAGGTGCACACAACCATACTGCAGTTTCCATAACGGACATTAGGACATGGATACTGCTGAGGCATATTTTGGAGGAAAATAGCAGAATAGCCCTTCTCCAGTGTTGTGAGTCAAGAACAAAGTAAGAAAATGACTTGTCAACATACCAGCAGGCCATGGTTAGTGGGTGAGCCATTCAAGGGTGTCTAGGAGAGGCTGAACCTTTGTGGAGGCCTACATATATCAGGAAAAAGTCTTGTGCTGAATAGCATCTGCCCTGAAAGAGACTGCCAATGAATTGTTAAGTTACAAGATAAGGGAGAGCATATATTTCCAAACATAAATATATTGTTAACAAAATAATTCAACTACTTCTCATTCATTTACAATCTATATCCAATAAGTCCCAATACTTGGAAAAGGCAACAAGCAGTCCAATAGGTTTGCATAAAGAGACTTACGGGCTGCGTTTGGTGCCCTTGGTTCTCCCCATTCTAAGGGAGGATAAGGGAGGTCACAGACCACATGTCTCTTATGCCAGCTGAGAAATGCAGCAGTACTTCTGAGCACAGGCTCATCTTGGGCATGAGAAAGTGGCTCCTTATCTGGAAAGCAATTTTCCTCTCTGGCTTTCTCCTTCCTTCCTCCCTTCTCCCCTTCTCCTCTTCTTGCCTTCTTTCCTTCTTTCTTTCCTTCCTTCTTTCCTTCCTTCCTTCCTTCCTTCCTTCCTGCCTTCCTGCCTTCCTGCCTTCCTGCCTTCCTGCCTTCCTGCCTTCCTGCCTTCTTTCCTTCCTTCCTCCCTCCCTCCCTCCCTCCCTTTTTCCTTCCTTCCTTCCTTCTTTCCTCTTCCTTCCTTCCTTTTTTTTTTTTTTTTTTTGACAGAGTCTCGCTCTGTTGCCCAGGCAAGAGTGCAGTAGTACAATCTAGGCTCACTGCAACCTCTGCCCCCTGGTTCAAGCAATTCTCGTACCTCAGCCTTCTGAACAGTTGTGATTATAGGCACAGGCCACCATGCCTGGCTAATTTTTGTATTTTAATAGAGATGCAGTTTTGCCATGTTGGCCAGGCTGATCTCAAACTCCTGACCTCAAGTGACCTTCCTGCTTCAGCCCTCCAAAGTGGTGAAATTACAGGTGTAAACCACCACATACAGTCCCTCTGGCTTCTTTCAAATTCGAAGTTGTCAGGACCTAGTACAATATAGCAGTCTACATAAATTGCAAAAATAAACCTCCTGATTCCAAAGCACACTGTGTTTAATGAGTCATCCGGGACACTGAATTTCAAAAGGATTAGAAATTTATTTCTGGGTTTCTTTATGAGAAGAATGAGCAAGAGTCTGTGCAACTATTTTAAGAGGTGATTCAGTCTTTGGAGATCTTCTGGTAATAAAATGACCACACACTAGCTCTTAAGCAATCATATTAAGACTTATAATGCTATGACTAAGGAAAGTAAACATGTTGCTAAATAGTTGAACATTAACCTTAAAAAGTAAAAGTTCTAAACAGACTCACTTCAGTTTTATTTCCATTCCTATTTTTAGAAATAAGTGAAATTTTTGAGTAAAACCAGATTTGAGCGGTCTTTTTCCTTTCTCTGCCACAAAATTTGCTGGATAAATTGCCTCCTTAGTAGATTTATATTTGGATTGCCAGATAAAATACAAGACATACAAATATTGCATGGAACATACAATAAAAAATTATTTGTTGATTTTATATATAATTAAAATTAAACTAGGTATTTTCTTTTCGTTTTCATTTTTGTTTTTTGCTAAATTGGGCCGTCTTAATTTATATGTACTTTGTATGACTATTCTTATTTGTCACATATAAGTTTTTTAAGAGAAATAGCATTTCTGGATTAGTTGACTAAGTCAATAACTCATAATATTAAAATTTGATAAACTTGTCAATCTTTAATTTATAAGGTGGATTCTTGGTGCTTTGGGCCCAAATATTCTGTAACTATAGCATGTTAAAAGTAGACCATCCTTTTTTTCTGAACAATCAGAATTGTCTGTTTAATTATTGAAATGCTATCCTCAACAGTTACCAAATGTCTGTCAAGGTAACGTTCAGCTGGCTTTTTTTTTTTTGTACGTCAGAAGACCTCTCCAAATTTTTTGTATTACAATTTTGTATTATAAAACTAGCTTTTCTTCCATTTTGGAAGTCAAATCAAGAACAATGGAGATCTGAAATTTTGAATCCTTCATGATTACTATGATTTATTGACCCCAAATCAGAAGATTGCTCTACTGTTTGTATAGATGACCTTAGTAATTGGATATACTTTAACATCTTCTGAGAATTACCAGAGACAGTGCTTGAATAAAACATCAGATTTTTTTAGACTATATAGGCCAAGTGCTATTGGTTTCATTTGGCTTATTTCACTTTCATTTTTACATGAGTGCCTACAGAGCTGAATATGGATATTAAAGTGTGACAGGGAATGTGTGAGTGAATGTGTGTGTGTGCGTGTGTGTGTGTGTGTGTGTATGTGTGCATGCACTGAGGAGTGCTGTTTATTGAGTGAGAAACGAAGATAAGAAAATCCTGCAGATATCCAGTTCTGGTTCTTAGAAACAAGAATTGATAGAATGCGTAGATCACTCGTGGGTAACCCTAACCATTGTCAAAGTGGGTGCTTAAGTAGTGTCTGGTAGAAGGCAGAACAAATAGACGGGTGGTTTATCTGACATTCTATCCACCAGAGATTTGTATTAACTGGCATGTGTGAACATATTCCACAGAGCAGCAATTGACCTTTATAATGATGACCCTGAGACATGGTAAATGCTGTGTGAATTATCAAAGAAAAATGAATGCCTGTTAATGCAAATCAGGTGTTAAGTGCATTTTATTGTGTTTTTTAAAAATTAACATTGGCTCTTTATGTAGAGCATATATATTTTTGCTTTAATCAGGATAATTATACCTTCTGACCAAATCAAATGACACAAAGGGGATTGTAGAAATTTAACACACACTTGCTCATTACCTGTTGTGTAGTAAGCTATGGGCAAACGTTGATAGACACAATTTTATGTCCTTAAGAAATTCATAATTATGAGATATAGAGAACCATATGGTTATTATAAAATGTAACAGGATCCTAATGTACACACAAATACAATGGAAACCATAGTGTAGAAGTGATTGATAAAAGAGAAGTCAAAGATGTATTACTGTGGAGTTGACATTTGAATTGCACATTGAAGAAAAAGTAAAGTTTCTCTAGCTAAATAGAAATTTTACTGTCATTTCCCAGTACAGGGATTTTATGTACTTTGTCCCTCCTTTTTTCCATCCTTTCCTCATTTCTGGGATTGACAGTACATACATTAGATAGTAGAGGATAAAGTTGAATATAAGTTAAGAAATACTACTCTGAATACCCTGAGTCCTGCTTTCAATTGTTAGTTGTATGTCAGAGTGGACACTGGAGTAATGTGAAAATCTATCACCTCACGTTGAGAAGAAGGACCTAGAAATTCAATAAGGGTTTGAGGAAAAAAATCATGATGGCCTATAGGATTATTTGCTTTGTTAAATAATCTGTTTTTATTGTTTTAAAGTAAAATTATTTTGGATTTCTCTTGGTATTTTCAAATTCTCTATCTTATGGACAGAATGTCTTACAGAGAAGAGCCACCATCAGCAATGATAAGGGTCACAATGGCTCAGGCTTTATTCCTCCTCAAGTAATCTTCCATACAACCTGCTTGTTAATAAATAGTTAATTATTTGGGCAGCTGCTAATTCTGCTTGAGCCCACCAATGGATACAAGACATTGGCATTTTGCCCTTGGTGAGAGAGTCAATGCTGAGCAAAGGACAGGTAGGGTAGCCACTTCAGTCAGTCACAAATCAGGACAATTCAGGCCCAACACTAGACTCAGAATTTGTCATCACTGATTACATAAACCAAAGATTGATCAACTCCCTTTCATGTCTAACTCTGTGAGTGCAAAGAAACTAACAATGACCAATTTGTTTATTTATTTTTAATTTTTAAATTTTTTTGAGATGGAGTTTCACTCTTGTCTTCCAGGCTGTAGTGCAATGGCACAATCTTGGCTCACTGCAACCTCTACCTCCTGGGTTCAAGTGATTCTCCTGCCTCAGCCTCCTGAGTAGCTGGAATTACAGGCATGTACCACCATGCCCAGCTAATTTTTGTAATTTTCTTTTTAGTAGAGACGGGGTTTCACCATGTTGGTCAGGCTGCTCTCAAACTCCTGACCTCAGGTGATCTACCTGCCTTGGCCTCCCAAAGTGCTAGGATTACAGGTATGAGCCACCATGCCTGGCCTGTTTATCAGTTTTTCTTTTCATTTAAATGGAATGATGAAAAAGACACTGGACTGGGTACATGTGTCTGGATTCTGGTGCAACCTGTGCTATTCACTGACTGTACAACCTGAGGAAACCTAGCCTTTCTGGACTTCATTTTGTTAATAGCATATGGACTAAATGATCCTCACATTTTTTTTTCCAGTTCTAGAGTGCTAGGATTCTTTTTTTAAAAAAAAATTTTTAACTTGTGTGAGTACACAGCAGGTGTATATATTTACGGGGTAAACAAAATGTTTTCATATAGGCATGTAATGTATAATAGTCACATCATGGAGAATGGAGGGAGCATCCATCCCCTCAAGCATTTATCCTTTATGTTACAAATAATCTAATTATATTCTTTTAGGCATTTTAAAATGTACTGTTAAGTTATTATTGAGTGTAGTCACCCTATTGTGCTATCAAATAGTAGAACTTATTCATTCTTTCTATTTTTTGTACCCATTAACCATCCCTACCTCCCTCCAACACCTCCACCTACCCTTCCAGCCTCTGTTCACCATCCTTCTACTCTTTCTGTTCCATAGGTTTAATCATTTTAATGTTTTAGATCTCACAAATAAAGAAGAACATGCAATGTTTGTTATTCTGTGTCTGGCTTATTCTACTTAATATAATGACCTCCAGTTCCATTTATGCTGTTGCAAATCTTATTTTTTTAAATGTTTGAATAGTACTCTATTGTGTACATGTGCCACATTTTCTTTATCTATTCATCTGTTAATGAACAGTTAGGTTGTTTCCATATCTTGACATTCTTTCATGATAAAAGTACTCAGCAAATTAGGTATATAAAGGATGTACTTCAACCCAAAAATTTATATATAATAAACCTGTGGCTAACATTATACTCATTGGTGAAAAATTGAAATTCTTTTCTCTAAGATCCAGAGCAAGACAAGGTCGCCCACTCCCACAACTTCTATACAACATAGTATTGAAAACCCTTGCTAGAGCAATAAGGCAAGAGAAAAATATAAGTCTTCCAAACAGGAAAGGAATAAATAAAATTGTCACTGTTTCCTGACAACATGAGCTTACATACAGAAAACCCTAAAGAATCCACAAAATAATGGTTAGAACTAATAAACAAATTCAGTAAAGTTGCAGGGTCCAAAATCAACATAAAAAACAGTATTTCTCCACTCTATCAACAAACGTAACCAAAAAAATCAAGACAAAATTTGATTTACAATAGCTATCAAAAATAAAACTTAGAAATAAATTTAACTAAGGGGGTGAAAAGCCTGTATACTAAAAACTACAAAACATTACCTAAAGAAATTAAAGACAGATAAATAGAAGGATACCTTGTGTTCATTGATTGGAGGAATTAATATTGTTAAAATAGTCATACTACCCAAAGTGTACCCACACTACAGATACAATGCAATCTCTATGAAAATCCCAATGTCACTTTGAACCAACATAGACAAAATAATTCTAAAATTCATATGCAGCCACAAAAATCTTCAAATAGCCAAGACAAACATGAGCAAAACAAAACAAAACAAAGCTGGAGGCATCATACTGCCTAATTCCAAACTATACTACAAAGTGACAGTAATTAAAACAGCATGGTACTGGCATTAAAAAAAAAAAAGTAGTGATCAAAGAAACAGAACACAGATCCCAAAAATGAATCCATGCAACTGTGGTCAATTTGCTTTCAACAAAGTTGCCCAGAATATATAATAGGAAGATGACAGTTTATTTAATAATAGTGTTTGGGAAAGTGTACATCCATATGCAAAAGAATGTAATTGGACCTTTATCTCACACCATATACAAAATCAACTCAAAATTGATTAAAGACTTAAACATAAAACCTGATACTGTAAAACTACTAGAAGAAAATGTGGAAAAAACTATATGACATTGGTCTGGACAATTATTATTTTTATATTTGATTCCAAAAGCTCAAGCAGCAAAAGCAAAAATAAATAAATGTGATTGCATCAAAATAAAATGCTTCTACAGAGCAAAGGAAACAACAGAGTGAAGAGACAACATATGAATTGGTAGAAAATATTTGCAAGCAACACACCTGGCAAGGAATTCATATCCAATCTATATAAGGAATGCAAACAACTCTATAGAAAGAAAACATAATCTGATTAAAAGATGGGCTAAGCAGTTTGGAGATTTCACAGATAACTAAAAATAGAACTACCATTCAACCCAGCAATCCAGTTATTTGGCATATGCCCAAAGTAAAATAAATTATTCTACCAAAAAGAGACATGCACCTGTTTGTTTTTCACAGCACTATTCACAATAGTAAAGACATAGAATCAAACCAGGAGCCCATCAATCGTGGATTGGATAAAGAAAATATGGTAAATGTACATGATGGAATACTACAGAGCCATAAAAAGGAATGAAATCATATCCTTTGCAACAACATGGATGCAGCTGGAGGTCATTATCCTAAGTGAACTAATGCAAAAGCGGAAAACCAAATGTCACAAGTTCTTATTTGTAAGTGGTAGCTAAACATTGGCCATTAGTTAACACTTGAAAAGGAAGAAAACCTGGGAAGACAAGTAAGTATAGGAGAACATTCTCATTTTTCTGAATATTCTATATTGCTTGGAAATCTTATAATACAAATCAATCCCTGTGTTACTTATGTAATAAAAAGACAAAGAATTTAGTTACTACTCCAAGACATTTCTTTTTAAAATCCCAGAGTCATTAAAGCATTAAAGATATATATGTCTACATGATGTATGTGTATCTAACAATCCTGCATGATCTGCACATGTACCCAGAACATAAAGTAAAATTTTTTTAAAAGTATATATAACAATTTTTAATTAACTCAGTTCTCTTATCTGAGATATGTTTATAGTTTCAAATTATACTGTTTTCAAATCTAAGTTAATTTGAAAATTCTTTTTTGTGGAAATCATGTGGAGATTTTGAAAATGTATTTAATCCATGCAACAAATAAAGCTTGTTCAGACACTGATATTAAATTGCAAACACATTTTTAAGTATAAAATTCCAGAACTAAAATAGTCTTGAGGGTGTATTTATTTCCTCACAATTTTATATTGATTTTAAATAATAGCATTTATAGTTTTCCCATTCTTGAGTTGTTAAATAGAAGTTTACCTGCGATAATCAAAACAGGTGAGACAGAAGGATGCCTCTGGCCTTCATTTCTATTTATTTATTTAATTTTTAAATTATACTTTAAGTTCTGGGATACATGTGCAGAATGTGCAGGTTTGTTACATAGGTATATATGTGTTATGACGGTTTGCTGCACCCATTAACTCATCATCTACATTAGGCATTTCTCCTAATTCTACCCCTCCCCCTAACCCCCACCCCTCCAAAGACCCTGGTGTGTGATGTTACCCAACCTATGTCCATGTGTTCTCATTGTTCAACTCCCACTGATGAGGGAGAACATGTAGTGTTTGGTTTCCTGTTCTTGAACTCATCCTTTTTTATGGCTGCATAGTATTCCATGGTGTATATGTGCCACATTTTCTTTATCCAGTCTATCATTGACGGGCATTTGGGTTGTTTGCAAGTTTCTGCTATTGTGAACAGTGCTGCAATAAACATATGTGTGCATGAGTCTTTATAGTAGAATGATTTATAATCCTTTAAGTAGATACCCAGTAATGGGATTGCTGGGTAAAATGATAGTTCTATTTCTAGATCCTTGAGGAATCACCACACTGTCTTCCACAATAGTTGAACTAATTTACACTCTCACCTATAATGTAAAAGCATTCCTATTTCTCCACATCCTCTCTAGCATCTGTTATTTTCTAGCTTTTTAACGATCACCATTATAACTGGCGCTAGATGGTATCCCATTGTGGTTTTGATTTGCATTTCTCTAATGACCAGTGATGATGAGCATTTTTTCATGTTTGTTGCCTGCATAAATGTCTTCCTTTGAGAAGTGTCTGTTCATATCATTTGCCACTTTTTGATGGAGTTGTTTGTATTTTTCTTTTAAATTTGTTTAAGTTCTTTGTAGATCCCGGATATTAGCCCTTTATCAGATAGATAGATTGCAAAAATGTTCTCCCATTTTGTAGGTTGCCTGTTCACTCTGATGATAGTTTCTTTTGTTATGCAGAAGCTCTTTAGTTTAATTAGATCCCATTTGTCAATTTTGGCTTTTGTTGCCATTGCTTTTGGTGTTTTAGTGATGAAGACTTTACCCATTCCTATGTCCTGAATGGTATTGTTTAGGTTTTCTTCTAGGATTTTTATGGTTTTAGGTGTACATTTAAATCTTTAAACTATCTTGAGTTAATTTTTATATAAGTTTTAAGGAAGGGGTCCAGTTTCAGTTTTCTGCATATGGCTAGCCAGTTTTCCTAACACCATTAAGTAAATAGGGAATCCTTTTCCTATTGCTTGTTTTTGTACAGTTTGTCAAGATCAGATGGTTGTAGATGTGTGGTGTTATTTCTGAGGCCTCTATTCTATTCCATTGGTCTCTGTATCTGTTTTGATACCAGTGCCATGATGTTTTGGTTACTATAACCATGTAGTATAGTAGCAAGTCAGGTAGCATGATGCCTCCAGCTTGTTTTTTGTTGTTGTTCTTGTTTTTTGTTTGTTTGTTTAGGATTGTCTTGGCTATGCAGACTTTTTTTGGTTTCATTTGAAATATAAAGTTTTTTTTTTTTTTTCTTCTAATTCTGTGAAGAAGTCAATGGTAGCTTGATGGGGATAGCATTGAATCTACAAGTAACTTTGGGCACTGCGACCATTTTCAGAATATTTCTTCTTCCTAACCATGAGCATGGGATGTTTTTCCATTTGTTTGTGTCCACTCTTATTTCCTTGAGCAGTGGTTTGTAGTCCTCCCTGAAGAGGTCCTCCATATCCCCTGTAAATTGTATTCCTAGATATTTTATTCTCTTTGCAGTAATTGTAAATGGGGGTTCACTCATGATTTGGCTATTTGTCTATTATTGGTGTATAGGAATGCTTGTGATTTTTGTACATCGATTTTATATATTGAGACTTTGCTGAAGTTGCTGATCAGCTTAAAGAGGTTTTGGGCTGAAATGATGGGGTTTTCTATACAATCATGTCATCTGCAAACAGAGACAATTTGACTTCCTGTCTTCCTATTAGAATACACTTTATTTCTTTCTCTCGCCTGATTTCTCTGGCCAGAACTTCCAATACTATGTTGAATAGGAGTGGTGAGAGAGGGCATCCTTGTCTTGTGCCAATTTCCAAAGGGACTACTTCCAGCTTTTATCCATTCACTATGATATTGTCTGTGGGTCTGTCATAAATAGCTCTTATTATTTTGATATATGTTCCATCAATACCTAGTTTGAGTGTTTTTAGCATGAAGGGGTGTCAAATTTTATTGAAGGCCTTTTCTGCGTCTACTGAGATAATTGTGTGGTTTTTGTCATTGGTTCTGTTTAGGTAATGGATTATGTTTATTGATTTATGTATGTTGAACAGGCTTTGCATCCCAGGGATGGAGCCAACTTTATCATGTTGGATAACTTTTTGATATGCTGTTGGATTCGTTTTGCTAGTATTTTATTGAGGATTTTTGCATCAATGTTCATCAGGGATATTGGCCTGAAATGTTATTTTTTTGTTGTGTCTCCACCCAGGTTTGATATCAGGATGATGCTGGCCTCATAAAATGAGTTATGGAGGAGTCCCTCTTTTTTTATTGTTTGGAATAGCTTCAGAAGAAATGGTACCAGTTCTTCTTTGTACCTCTGGCAGAATTTGGCTGTGAATCCTTTTGGCCCTGGGCTTTTTTGGTTGGTAGGCTATTAATTACTGCCTCAATTTCAGAACTTGTTATTGGTCTATTCAGGAATTTGATTTCTTCCTGGTTTCATCTTGGGAGGGTGTATATGTCCAGGAATGTATTCACTTCTAGATATTCTAGTTCATTTGTGTAGAGGTATTTACAATATTCTCTGATGGTAGTTTGCATTTCTGTGGGATCAGTGGTAATATCCATTCTATTATTTTTTAATTGTGTCTATTTGATTCTTCTCTCTTTTTTTCTTGATTAGTCTGGCTAGCAGTCTGTCTATTTAGTTGATCTTTTCATAAAACCATCTCCTGGATTCATTAATTTTTTGAAGGGTTTTTTTGTGTCTCTATCTTTTTCAGTTCTGCTCCGATTTTAGATATTTCTCGTCTTCTACTAGCTTTCGAATTTGTTTGCTCTTGCTTCTCTAGTTCTTTTCGTTGTGATGTTAGGGTGTCAAATTTAGATCTTTCCTGCTTTCTTTTGTGAGTATTTAGTGCTATAAATTTCCCTCTAAACACGCTTTGGCTGTGTCCCAGAGATACTGCTGCGTTGTGTCTTTGTTCTCATTGGTTTCAAAGAACTTATTTCTTTCTGCCTTCATTTCAGTATTTGTGCAGTTCTCATTCAGGAGCAGGTTGTTCAGTTTACATGTAGTTTTGTGGTTTTGAGAGAGTTTCTTAATCCTAAGTTCTAATTTAATTGCACTGTGGGAGACTCTTATGATTGCCATTCTTTTGCATTTGCTGAGGAGGGTTTTGCTTCCAAATATATGGTCAATTTTAGAACAAGTGTGATGTGGTGCTGAGAATAATGTATATTCTGTTGATTTGGGGTGGAGAGTTTTGTAGATGTCTATTAGGTCTGCTTGGTCCAGAGCTGAGTTCAGGTCCTGGATATCCTTGTTAATTTTCTGTCTCATTGATCTGTCTAATATTGACAATGGGGTGTTAAAGTCTCCCACTGTTATTGTGTGGGAGTCTAAGTCTCTTAGTAGGTCTCTAAGAATTTGCTTTATGAATTTCAGTGCTCCTGTATTTGGTGCATATATATTTAGAATAGTTAGCTCTTCTTCTTGCATTGATCCCTTTACCATTATGTAATGCCCTTGTCTCTTTTGATCTTTGTTGGTTTACCGTCTGTTTTATCAGAGACTAGGATTGCAACCCCTGCTTCTTTTTGCTTTCCATTTGCTTGGTAAATCTTCCTCCATGCCTTTATTTTGAGCCTATGTGTTTCTTTGCATGTGAGATAGGTTTTCTGAATACAGTACACCAATGGGTCTTGACTCTATCCAATTTGCCAGTCTGTGTCTTTTGATTGGGGCATTTATCACATTTATGTTTATGTTAATATTGTTATGTGTGACTTTGATCCTGTCTTTATGATTCAGCTGGTTATTTTGCACATTGGTTAATGAAGTTTCTTCATAGTGTTGATGATCTTTAAAATTAAGTATGTTTTTGCAGTGGCTGGTACTGTTTAGTGCTTTCCTTTCCATGTTTAGTGCTTCCCTCAGGAGCTCTTGTAAGGCAGGCATGGTGGTGACAAAATCTCTCAACATTTGCTTGTCTATAAAGGATTTGATATCTCCCTCACTTATGAAGTTTAGTTTGGCTGGATATGAAATTCTGGGTTGAAAATTATTTTATTTAAGAATGTTGGATACTGGCCCCTACTCTATTCTGACTTGTAGGGTTTCTGCAGAGAGATATGTTGTTAATTTGATAGGCTTCTATTTGTGGGTAACCTGACCTTTCTCTCTGGCTGCCCTTAACATTTTTTCCTTCATTTCAACCTTGGTGAATCTTACAATTATGTGACAATTATATTATAAAATTTACATAATTTTGTAGTATGTATCTGTTGAAAATTTATTTTAGCTAGTTTTCATTAATGTGTTTTCACCCTTGAACTAGAGATAAAATTACTTTACATACCACTTTTACAGTTTAAGAGTATTCTGAATATTTCTCTGTACCACTTATGCCATTGTATAATTGTAAGTTTATTCTGTTAATTAGCAGCCTTTAATTTCAGTTTAACCTTTTTCCCATTTAGAAAAAAAAGTGAAGCTCATTGCAAGCACTCATTTAATTTTACATAAACATATTCTTTGAGGCTGAAGAAAATCTGGCTGATTTTCAATGTGAAAATAAAATATAAAAATTGTTCTTAAAATTATTTCTAAACAGAACTAAAATCAGAATAATCTAAATAATCAGAATCAACTATTTTGGAAAAATCAGATTTATCAAGTGAACCTTCAGCCAACAACTGTTTGAGAGCGATGTTAACATCACTTGTAGAAATGCTACATTTTCTAGAATTTGACATTTTTAACTATTGCAAATTACTACATTTTGTAGATGGAAATGTCACTACTAAAAACAGAATTCTATAAATAGAATGACCTCTTTTGTGTTTGAGGTCGATAGGCTAGAGTGATGTGAAAATAATAACAAAAGTGAGATATTTTGTGGCAAAGTTATCTCAGGGTAAATGCTGTCGCCACAAGCACCACTGAAGAGTATTCTTAGGGCAAATGGGAAAAGGGTTAAAGAACTCTCTCACAATTCCTGTAAAGCAGACCTTGTGGTGATGATCTCTCTTAGCTTTTGTTTGTCTGGAAACACTTTTATTTCTCAAATATAAGTTTACTGGGTAAAGTATTCTTGGTTGACAGGGTTTTCTTTTCCCCCTTCAACACTTTGAATGTATTATCACACTCCTGGTTTCTGCTGAGACATCCACTGAAAGATGTATTGGGACTCCTTTGTATGTGATGTATTTCTTAATTCTTGTGGCTTTCAGGATTTATTTCTTTGTCTGTGATTTTTGGTAGTGTGATTATTATATATCTTGGTGAACTCCTCCTTGGGTTGAATTTCACAGGTGACTTCTTTGCTTCCTGTACTTGAATATGGCTTCATTCCTCATATTAGGGATGATTTTAGTCATTATTTCTTTAAATATGCTTTCTGACCCTCATTCTCTTTCTTTTCTTTCTGGAATGCCAATTTTGTGTGTGTTAGGTCTCTTGATAGTATTCCATAATTCCAATAGGATTCCTTCATTTCTTCTTTGTCTTTTTTTCCCCTCTTCTCTTAGGTAATTTTAAATGTTCTACCATTGAATTCATTGATACTTTCTTCAGCTTGATTTATTCTGAGCTTTATTTCTGTCATTTCATAGATCTCCCTTTCTTTGGGGTTTATTATTATAATATTATTATTATTATGCAAGGGGCCTTGGTGTTAAGTTAATAAGGATGGATGAACTAACTGCTATGCTCTGTAAAAATGTACAATTGAGGTTTGCCTCCCTTCCTGGGCAGGGTCTAGGGTTGTGCTTTGAGGTCGTGGGAAATACTGATTATGCTTCCAGATGTGGCATATCTGGAGACTATTTTTTCGGGAAATTCACTGCAGAAATTTTCTCCCTCCATGGGTAACAATTTGGGTAGGGTATAATGCTGAAATGTAGAGGCTGGTCATCTAGGAATTCAAGCAATGTAGCACTTCTCATCTTATCTGGGAGTCACCAACTTGGTTTTGTGGATGATCTATGATGTTTGTTGTTCTTTTACTGAGCACCACTGCTGTCAGGCACACTATGTTTTCGCCAAAATTGACACATTTGTCTCTGTGGCTTCATCTCTTTGCTTTGTTTCATGCCTGACCCCCGGGAGTCTAGCTGCACAGTTTTTCTGTGTGTTTCCCATTCCCCATGAGTGAAAATAAGTGAACTTCCTGGTAGGCACCTCAGAACGCTAGGTAAACTAGATGTCCACTTACTTGGTTCTCTTTTCCCACTGTAGAAACCATGGATCCTGAAGAATCCTTTCTGTGTGGCATTGTGCCAACTTGGAGAAGGAGGAATGGTAATGTGGTCAAAGTGAGGTCATTTTTCATATCTTTTCAATGTAAGCTTTTATTCATTTCCATGGAACATACAGGTAACTCAGGCTGATTTTTACATGTTGAGGTTTCACCAGTTTTTTTGTATATGGATAATTGCTACTTGATTTTCTATGAGAGGGAGTAAAGCTTGGGACCTCCTATTACACAATCTCACTGATATCACTCTCTGATATTATTTCTTGTTAATGTCAAGAAATTCTATGTGAAAGAACCTTTAGTTGGGAGGGCGTGGATCATTTGTCTTATCGCTTCATTTTCCTCTTTATCCATAAAACATTGATCTTTAACTATATCTATATAAAATTAGCAAACTGTACAGCTTGTATGAGGAGTTTAGTTCAATGATAAATGGTCATAAATGTTTCAGGTATTTAGGATATCTTTAGAAACCTGAGTTGAGTTTATATTTTTATGTCAAATTTACATTCACATAGGGGATATCTTTCACAAATTAGTCCAACTACTCGGTTCATGATATTAATGAACGAAAAGATCTTAAAATCCACCCTGAGACTGAATGGTTGACTGTGCCGTGAACCACTGACTCATACCTGACCAACCAGTTCACAATGATGATTTGACACAAATGAATCCTCATCTGAAATACTTCATGGAGACAAAGGACAGCATTTCAAGAAGACATTCCTAAGTTTAAATCCCAGCACTGCTGCCTACAAGGTATGTGATCTTAGTTAAACTTAAACTCTCTGAGGCTCAGTTTGCACACTTGTAAAACTGTGTAATTGCAATGCTATCTACCCCAGTATTATTACAGGGATTAAATTATATAAGATAACCAATACTGAGCATCTGATATATGCCTGGTATTTAACAGTCTCAATAAATGATAGCTATATTTTCACTACTACATGTGACTTCATTGTTAATTCAAGGATCAAAATGTTATTACTAACTTGGACTCAGCCAGAGGTTCTCCTTATTAAAAAGAATGAATAATTTTGATTGGTTGACTAGTTTAAGCATCTAGGCTTTCCAAATGATGAATTCATATCCCCATATTACAGATATATTACAGAGTTTCTAAATTTAATGTCAAGTATATTCACTTTAGTGACTGCCTAAAGTAGTCAGGAAAGTTACTATACTTACTTTTTTTTGAAAGTGTCCACTGTCTTTTTGATATAAGAGCAGATAAAAGTAATTAAATACATAATGACTGATGTTACAATGGAATTAAAATGTCTATGTTTAATATAATATTCTATAAAAAATTTGTGTGTGTGTGATGAACAAAGAAAAAAGTCATTAAAATTGAACACAAGTTATGCCAAGTGAAGTTTACATTTTGTATTTTTAGGGAAGTGTTAGAACATAATCAG